TTTAAATAATTATTAAATGAAAAATAGGTTAATGAATGGATATCAAAAATCATAAAATATTTTCACTAGAAATATACTATACTGCTTGTAATGTAGTATGTATGATTATAATTTTTAAAATAAAAACTTTCAATAAAAATATAGCATCATCGTTTCACCAAAAACTCCAATTCTCACCATAGGCTACAACAGCCTTTTCTTACTATTTTCCCTAGAAGTGAAAGATAGTAGCTCAGCAATAGAGTTCTTTAACAGAAAAGTTTGGATCTATTTTGTGCAAAGTTTCCTCACCCCACCTCATCCTAGTCCTTAACATTTTCCTGGTGTTTGCTCAATTTTGGACAAAAAATGGGAAATGCCTGGCGTTTAAGCTATGGTATCAGTCCCCTAGGACTGGGTCTCCTCTCTTATAATCTTATATTGTCTGACTTACAGAAGCATTGGTGATGATGGAATTTGTCAACTTCTGTGGTAAGTTTGACCAAATCTTATCCACAAATTTTACAATGGTGCAAACTGGAGACTTAATCAAATCTGCCTCTGTGAATATCATTGTGACTGTAAATATGACCATATTGTCAAAGAATAGGATATGAATGTTTTAGAGCTAGTAGACACTTTAGACATTATCTGGTTCAGCTTTCTCATTTTATAGACAAAGTAGTTATGCCTGAAGAAGCTGAAGAGACAAGTATTAATTCACCCAGCAAATTAGTAGCAGCATAGTGTAAATCAGCTATCAAGTTTCCAAGTTTACATGTCTTGAAAGTCACTTGTATAAAGCTACTACATAGGAAAATCATAAATGAGTCAAATTGAAAACTTTATTATTTTTTAAAATGTAAAAGTATGTCACATATTAAACATAAAACCATTTATTAGTATAGAAAGTAGACAAAAATAATCAACTTATTGGAAAGATAGTGTCAATGAACAGACAAAATAGCAACTCTTTATTAGATTATTAAAGGCATTTGGCAATTTTTGGTCTTAAGTTTACAATAAAAAAATTGTGGCAAGAAAGGATCTTTTTTAATTTTTTGAGCTTGAGGAAGTAAACAAAAAAATCAAAAACTTATTCTATAATTCATAAGCCGTATATGAAAAGTTGAGAGGATGTAAAGCCGTATTAATAACAATAAACCTTGGCTGAATTATGTCTGTGTCACTGACAATATCATTCAATTTAGACATTCTTCCTCTGATTCAAGCACCTGTTTCCCCTGCTAAAAATGAAATCAATAATTCAAAGTAACCATTGGTCTGTAGCTACCAAATAATTAAAAGAAAACATTTTAAGTTTCTTCATGAGAAATACCCCCACACTGTTTTGTTCTTCATCTACTAACAGAAAATAAATTATTTAGCAAGTCAACTATGTAGATGATAAACTCACTCTCATTTGCCCTGGAAATAATTAAGCTTTCCATTTGGCATTAACTCATTTTAATCCAATCTTGAATCTGAAAACTGAATTATCCTCTCACTGGGAATTCTGCAGTTGTTGTTACCCTACAACTCTTTAAGACACCTTGCAGAATACGCAGACATATTAGCTGTGGAGCTGGGAATGATGCACACACCAATGCAACAAAAAATGACACTGACAGGTAGAATGTCTTTGGGGATATCTGTTTCAGCAGGTCTCTCTTTGTGGATGCAACAAAGATTTCTAGTTACCAAAATATCTGCTTAGTTCACAGATCTAGACTCAATTTAACATAGAACTATGTTTTAATAGGTTCCAATGAAACCAAGATGAAAGTCATCTCTATCTGCCTTAGAGGGAAGGAAGCATATTCTATCAAGAGAAAGCTACTCTGTAGCACTGAGGATCCTGTTATTTCCACACTGAACCCCTGGGTTTCTACAAGAATGCCATGAAAACTTGCCATGCATTTTATTTTTTATTATGACTACCAGAAGCATATAAATCCTGAATTACAGAGTGAATTGCCATTTTGTGTTAAGTATTTTCATGAGTTTAATTTCAATGGTGCTTATTCTAAATGCAATGACTTACAATTTCATACCTAAAATTTCATGATGATGACAACAAAAAAAAATTGGCACCATACTAAATCTAAGCAGGCTTTAATTTTATTCTGCAATTTGGAAGTTAACTGATTTTTCTACTGCTAAATACTATTCTCTCTATTCACAACTTCTTAGTATGACCATTTCCCTGAGTGTTTATTGAAACACCATATTCAATAGACAAATAATGTTACTAATAATGCTAATAGAAAAAAATTTTTCTAGTAGCATAATAGATATTCAGTAGTGGTTTACAGGATAGAGATCTGCTAGTTTACTCATTTGATAAAAAGCAGAAATATATTAAGATTCAGTATTTTACTTTACACAAATCTTGATTTTGATTGGTTTACAAAAAATATACAGTGAAATAACAGGGGATTGCAAAGTAGTAGCTGTCAGTAACTCACATAGATTAATAAATACAAATGATCTGTAATTAAGATACTAATTTTATGTAAATAGATATTTTCCAAAGTTTCATGTGCATGTTAGGCTTAGGTCTAGCCTATAATATGTATTATTCATTTGTATATGTGCTATTAATTTTTCTCTCATTCTTGCTATTGATAGAAAGTCACCTTTCTAAAATATTACTCTGAAGATTCAGGCAACATTTTTAAAAATTTTTCAGTTTTGAAGAGGTTTTATTTGGAGGCAGGGCTGAGTTAAAGAATGGAAGATAACTAAGAGGGCTTTTTGTGTTTTAAAATGGAAATATCTCTAGGTGCCTAATCTATCTATAAATATCAATATACATATATCTATTCTTGTGTCTATATATCCTGTCAAACCACTTGGAAAGTCCTCCATCTGACCAAAATAAATTTGATAAGCAAATCCTTTCATGAACAGATATTATGAATGTAAACTGGAGACAAGACCTTACTAAAGTCATCAAATTCTGCCATTTTGAAATGATAGTTACTAAGGTGATAAAATTATGCAGACTTTACTGGATTTGAGCATGTCGGTAAACTGAATAAAAAAATCCTTGAAATACAATTAGCAATTCAGACACAGTGCATTGTAGCATTTTAAAACGGTAACTAGAAAGCCGCTCTTTCTGCTGGCTTTTGCCTTTTACTTCACTGGGAGACTGATTTTATTCCAGGCCTTTCTTATTGATTGCTGACTTTTTCCTGATACAATGCAATAAATACATCATTAACGTAAGCTGGCCTTCAATGGCTCAGTAAATGGAATGTGATCAGAAAAAGAAAGATTCCGTTTTGGACATGGCAGGTAGCATAGACGTCTTCCTTACAGATTTATCTTAGTCCATTTCATTTTTCTTAGTATGTTATGAACCAATTGCGAATACACAATTAGTGATCAAATTGGTGAAGATGTCAGCATTTTTTTCCGCCCTAAAACCTTTGTTTTAATGCTTTGTTAGTAAAAGGCAACTACATAGTCTTCTTGAATATGAAAAACTGCTGTCAGATCAAGTCCTTTTTATGCCTCCGATGTGAGGACACACTAATTCTCGAGACTGTCCAAGGCTTTCCATAGAAGATGCTGTCTTGTTGAGAAGGAAGAAATAACTAAAGTATCTTAAGTTTTCTGTTGTCTTAAATATCTCATATTGAGAACGAACAAGTAAAATATACGTATGAAACAATGTTTTTTGCTATATTCAACCTATGCTATATTTATTATGAATTTCCCATGTATTAGTATGATGACATAATATGAAATGATTTAAGATCTTATTATTGATAAGATGGGAAGATAAATCAATGGTATACTATGATTTCTTTCTATATTTGATGGTATAATAGCATTATTATAAAACCTAGAGCTTTTTATCTTTTATCTGTATATATGTTCAGACTTTTCCGCCTCTCATAGGAAAGGGACAATTTTAATGTCTTACTTTGCTTAGGATGATGAATGTAATAAGTGTGATTTTTTTAGACTGGTAATTACAAAAAGAAAAATAATCTATAAAAAAAGTACTAAGGGGTCTTCCATATTCAGCATCCCAAAAGGGAAAACCCAGGAAATCTTATCAGTAGTGCACATAACCAGGCCTCAGTTTTCTTCACTTGGAGTGATAGAATCAATACTTTCATTCAATTGGCACATCAGTCATCTAACTACATCATTTGGTTCAAGATTGTGATAATGTTGCTTCCCATAACAACATGCTAAAATTGAAAAAGACTGAAAACAATTTTTTGGTTCCCTTTGTTGATTACATTTTATTTTTTGGTTTAAAGGGCACCATGTAATGGTATTCGAAGTTCCCCAACATAATATAAAGATATTTTCACAATTCCTCCTTTCGCAAACTTAGTGGCACATTGAAATCACCTGAAAACTTTAAAAACTGCTGCTATCTGAGTCCTAGCCCAAGAATTTCTGATGTAATTTGGATGAAAGCCTGGGCACTGGGTCTTAGAATATCTCTCTCAGGTGATTATAATACGCAGCAGATTTGGCAACCTCTGGTGCATATGAAGCTGATATTCTCATCACAACTCACTGCTAGATCGCCACCCTACCCATCCCATTTCATCCCATTACTGAAGAGTTAGTCTTCCTATCTGTTTCTCTCTCCTCCATATTATAGACATGTTTGTCAAAGCTTGAATGTGACTTCCCCCCCAAAGCAATTACTCTTACACACTTATTCTGTAATTTTTGCAAACACTTTTTTTTCTTTTTGAGACAGAGTCTTGCTTTGCTGCCCTTGGTAGAGTGCTGTGGCATCATAGTGCACAGCAACCTCAGACTCTTGGGCTCAAGTGATCCACTTGCTTCAGCCTCCTTAGTAGCTGGGACCACAATGCCCAGTTATTTTTAGAGATGGGGTCTCACTCTTGCTCAGGCTGGTCTGCAACTCCTGAGCTCAGGCAATCCACCCGCCTCCGCCTCCCACGAGTGCTAGGATCACAGGTGTGAACCCCGGCGCCCAGCCCAAACATGGATCCTTTTATACATATGTTAGAGTACAATAACTTTTAGCAGTATTTATTTTGTTTTTTTCAAAGAAACCAATGGCATTGAAGGTCAAAGCACCTTCTGATTGCACAGACTAAAGAAGAAAGTATTACATATTCCAGCTTTACAAAGCATCTTATTGATTTAAGCAGATCCATACTATTGATAAAATTCATTATGAAACGTGTCATAGGGAGACTAACATTTATTTTACATATCTACAACATGTATTTTCATATTTCTAGGTAAACCACAAATCATATAGGAAAATATTTAGGTACATGAAAAAGGTTCAAAACATACAAAATTAATATTTTGAAAAAAATCACATGTGAAAGCTCATTAAATAATAACATTGACAAATAAATAGTTAATCGGCTTTACATCTTAGCTGCTGCCATGCATTTCTGGCATTCCATTCCAAGCGAGGGTCAGCATGCAGGGTATAATTTCATACTCTAGGACTGTAAAAAGCTACAGGGCTTATTTTGAAGTGAAATGTCACAAGGTCTTTCATCCTCTTTCAAAGGAAGATCGATCATGGCCACTAAACTGTTCCCAGGAAGGTTACCAAAAAGCGCTTTTCTTAAAATGTTACTGTGAAGAGTCATGGCAACTTTTTTTTTTAACTTTTCTGTTTTGAAGAGGTTGGGGGGGCAGGAATGGGTTAGGATGGAAGGTAACTGAGAGGCCTTTTTTCTGTTTTTAAATGTAATGATTCAGCCACATCTATAGTGTCAAGAATATCTTATAAGAACAACGGGGAATTAAAACTACAGGATGCGTGGAATTTAAATGCAAATTGCATTCACGGATATATGTACATCTTGAAAAACTTGAAAAGGAAAAACTATTCCCAGAGAAGGTCCTGATACTTAGGACAGCTTGCTGGGTTTGATCAAAGCAGAAAGCATAATACTTTCAAGTGAGAAAATAGCAGTGGCAGGCTTGGGTCTTCCAAGCAATCAAATCTGTAAAGCAGATGGTTGCTAGTCAGTCTAGCTATGGAAGTCTGAGTTCTAACTCATGCTGTGCTTGCTGGGTTTGCTGGCTCTTTTCCGCTCTCTGTGATGCTGCGCTGGCTTGGCAGGAGACACACTCTCAAAGTTGTGACTGGATTCATTGTGCTGCCGGGTGTACCTCTTGCACTTGCAGGCGGTGACTACTGTGATCTTGTAGGTGCGCGTGCTGCCATCTTGGCACTGCAGCTGGATTCTCTGCGTGCGCGTTTTGTCGTTGACACACCTCCACTCCTGGGAGCTCCTCCTGCTCCAGTACTTGGTTCCGTAGCCGCCTCCGATCCAGTTAGGGAGCACGGGCAGCGGCAAGCACTCACCAGCACACACCAGCTCCTTCAGAGGGCTGATGCTGGTGCACTGGCCGTCGGAGATGTACTTGGTGGAACGCAGCTCCCGGCAACCCACTTGAACCCGAGCTGCATCAAAGACAAAAAACAAATTACTTTTTTTAATCTGATAACAAACATAATATCCAAATGACAGCAAATTGCCGGACAGAGTGAACACAGACTTTATTGTCACAAGGCAAAAATCTGCCTACACAGTTGTAGAGACACTTCCATGAAAATTCACCAGTTTACATGGCTATTTTGGAAAAAAAAAATCTAGGCCTGATTTCTTAAACGTGTAGCATTAGCTAATTGCTCATTAGAAATTATAAAAATCCCATTTTCTTAGTCTTACTCGCCAGTAAGGGTTTAGCAGCCCTTAAGTTTGTGTGTAAATATTCATTCTTCAGTGAGTTGAAAGAGTGTCCTTCACTGGTCTTTTCCTCAAGGGTCATATTGGTTAATGTCTGCAAGAGATTTTAATTAGGTTTCCAAAAAATCCGTTGAGAAAATGTGGAAAGTATTTAAATATTGCGTACAATGCACATGCACTCTGTAAGACTTTATTTCAAATATAGAATTCAGCTGCAGAGAATCATTCATACATAAATGCCTTCTGACGTTTTGCATATCCAACTTAATAACTACATTTTAAACATAAATTCCCAAACTAACTTTTAAAAATACAAATAGTACAATGTTTGAAATGGAAACTGTCACTACAACTCAAAATTTAAAGAATATAAAAGCCCCTAAATCAGGAACGTATGGTTGCCATAACAACTTGGCTACATTTCCATGAATTTTATGGCAGAAAAATGCCTAACATGTCTGATTTACAACTGCAGAAGGAACCACGGTGTTCATTTCCTGAATACAGGTCATGGCAACCTTTTTGTTTTAGTTATTTGGATTTGATAGGTATGTTCTCTAATTGGCTGTTTCTTGTTGCATGCCTTATGTAATTAAAGCAAAAATTAATCTCGAAATATTTGAAGTTTTCCTTACCATTGCTTTATGATCTAAACTTGAGGAGAATTGCCTGTAACAGGCTTGTAAAGAAATCAAGGCTTGTTAACCAGGAAAAAAAAACGTTTAAAGGTATAGGCTGTTGAAATTTGAAAAATAAAATTATAAGCGACTTTGAAGTGGTTCTACATAGAATAAGGAAAGCTAACTCAAAGAAGAAACGGAATTAGTTTTACTTCGTACCCCAGTAATTCTAAGGTAAAAGGTATAGATTAAGGAAAATGTGATAGTGGTGGACAGTACATGTGTATAGACATACATGCATATAGATTCAGAGTTGCAGAACTAAATTTAAAGGGTTAATTATTTGGCTGGATAATGTGTTCAGTTTGCCTGACTCTGATTCCAGTTCACCTTCAAGTAGCTGCTTCAGGAATGTACCTGGAAACAGCCAGAAATGATTTCAACTTGCCTAGTTTTTGTTCCTGTGTTTAAAGAGATTTGGCATTTTCCTGATGACAGTTCATTGACGATGAATGCTCACCACATCACTCCGTCATCTAATAACAATCAAATATTTTCACATTCTTAAAGTCAACCATCTTCAGGAAAGTTAAAACACCTTGGTGTTCTTAGATATTAACAGTCATATTTGCTTTGACTTTTCAAAGGTCAAAACTACTTTTAGTAGTTGAATAAAGGAGAGGCAACATATTTGTGTAAGATTTCCTGGGCACTTTTTTTGTCTCTCTTAAAACCTGACTACTAGCATGTGAACTGTACTAAAGGAATGAACTGAAACAAAAGTTAGAAGAAATTTGAGTCCCCTAACCAGTGTTCAACTAGTGTGTCAATTAAGCAAACAGAAAAGGTTCCCTGCAAACCTTGTTGATTGTTGTACTGTTATTTTAAAACTCTTAAGTTATAAAAATGTCCGCAGTCTTTCACAGGAATGTACAATTACCTAAATTTTGACCTGGTTCATAAAGAATGATTATAGAAAAGCATGATTCTCCAACTTTTTCAGTTTAATCCATCTTTTACATTAAGCATCATCCAAACTTTCAACTGTTTCCTAAGACATGTTTTAGAAATCCATGTGAACAATTTTTCCCCCTCAAACGCTTCCTTTTCCCCTGCTGATTTCTTATACACTTATTTCTTATACACTTTGGCTTAGTTACCCTTGTACACTTTACCAAAATTGTATATGCCCTGAAATAAACTGACAGAACAACCTGAACTTAACCGTTTAGAACAACACTTTCTAAAATCCTTGTTCTGCATACTTTTCAAGAAGCAACAGTTTAATTCTTTGTGGGTACTTGATAAAATTTAAATCTGTGCTTGCACTATCAAACCACTGTTTCAGTTACATTAACTTTAAAATCACTACCTAGGGAAGAATGCCAATCTACACATGCTGCAGATTACTCCCAGATTGTTTAGCAAATTATATAATATACAGTTCAGGTTAGTTAACAATAAAATGATTGTACAGGAATGTGAGATAATGCTACTGAAAAGAAAGAAAGAGAAAGAAAGAAAGAAAGAAAGAGAGAGAGAGAGAAAGAAAGAACAGAAAGAAACCAAAATCTATACAAGTAAAACATACTTACTGTTCCGATCCAGTCCAGTGTTACTGAAATGCCTGCCTCCATTTCTGGCTTGATTCAACGTGCTGTTGCTGCTGGGGTGTGCTGGAACAGGTTTAACCACATGTGAATAAAGGATTTCTGTGGCATCATTTTTAAAAGCCAAACAGCTTTTCATTAGGATGCATGCAAGGGGAATGAGATAGAAATGAATGGCAGGAGGAAGCATGGTGAGTAGAAGATAGCTTGGCTGGAGAGCTGGTTAATTCCTTTCCCTCTGCTTCTGCACTGTAACTGTGAAATTCCTCCCAAGGTTCCCTTTATATATCCACAGAGGTTTGGCGTTCATTCAGGTGTAAAGTTGTATAGAGCTTCAGAGTGAAAACGCAGAGAAGGGGTGGGATCCCTACATGACCCTGCAAAAGAATTTTACCAATGGAAAAGAAGACTGCAGAAAAGGAGGAGCTTGGTATACAAATGGCCTGAAATTTCAGACTTGGACTTCTTCACTTGCGTGTGAGCCGAAGCAGGCAGGCACACTTTATATCAACGACAGACTCTCCTCTGCCATTTCCTTTCCTTTCCTAGTTTATAGTCGGGTACAATTTAAATGAAAATCCAATTTAATTGAATGGCTGTTCATTTGAAGAGATTGGCTTTTCCTCTATAACCCCCTCAGGGGGTTATAGAGGGTCCCCCATATTTGGGACAGGGAGGGGGTTCTTTCCAGAAAACAGGAGGAATTCCTGTGAGTTTAAATATCGTAGGACTTGCTTGAAGCACCTAGTTGAACATAGTTTGTCTCTCAAGAAGCAAACCGGTGTCTTTTTCTTTAAAGTATAGGACACAGAGCTAAAATCTGCCCCCTGGACATGCTTAAATAATGCAGCTTTGATCTGCGTGAACTACTGGGCTGCTAGGTAAATTATTGCCAGGGGTTCTGTGTGGAGAATAATGAGCACAGTTCTGTCTGCATTACACTGACTAATATCAATTTTCATCTTAAAAATATCTCACATGCATTAACATTTCCAGAATTATTTTACAGCCATTTCTGAGAGATTATTGTTTAGGAAATTCAAAATGAATTTTTCTAGATTGTTTTTCTATTTGCTACAAAACATAGGTTCTACTCATGCTTAGTAAACATTTCATTCATTACTTCGACTCTGCTGTTCAAGTAAGAATCATTGTATTTTTCTGAACTACTTTATCCACACCTGGAACACATCTTCCATTACTTAATAGGAGGCCACTGATCTTCATGCCTTAAAAAAACATGAAATTCCTTCTGTCTTCTAGGACATTTTATATTCTGAATCACCTTTTTAATTATTTTATTCTTTGTGTGCCTATTAAAATGACCTCCTAGCATGGGTGTTTGGTGTCTCTTTTCTAAGCTTTTGTCCATTATAACTGCTGTTCACCTCTGTGTCTATCTATCTGAATTTTTCTGCAGTAGCACAATTGAGATATTGAAAGAGATAATTCTTTATTGTTGGGGGGCTGTCCTGTGTGCTTAGCAGCACCCCTAGCTTCTACCCACTAGATGCCAGTAGAAACCTCCAGTTATAACAAAAATATCACCAAACATTGCCAAATGACCTCTGGGGGGTAAAATTTCCCCTAATTGTGAACGACCAATTATCTATTCATCCGTCTCATAAAAAGAATGTAAAAATAAGAATAAAATATAATTATTAAATAATTAAAAACTAATTTAATTATCTCCTAGTTTTAGGAGAACTAGTTTTTAATTATTTAATAATTAGTTTTAGGAGAAAAATAGTACTGTGGTTTTGTGTTAAAACAACAACTGTTTTCCTTTTAGTAGTATATACTGAGTTATCTACAGATGAAAAGATATGGTAGAATCATTTATAGCATATGGAATCAGCTGGAATTAGCTTTAAAGATAGTATTTGAGGAGTTAGGGATGTAGTGGCAAAAGACTGGTCATATCTTGATGGTTGTTGGGGTAGGATGGAAAGGATTCCACTCTGTTTATTCTTGTGTTGGTTCAAAATTCTACATAATAAAAAGTTTAAAACCCGAAATCAAACAATCAATTTAACGTATACATACTTCCTACTAACAATTAGATCCCTATCCTAAAGTTGCATGTGTAATATTCTAACCTTCTTCCTAGAAAATATTATGTGAGTTTATTTTGTACAAATAGGAGATTATATACTAAGCATTCTTCTAAGATACTACCTTGTCCTGTTTGCCAGGGGATTTAATATTAATTACACAAAGTATGTCGATATTAATTATTGACCTGTAAACTCAATGCCTAAAGGAAGTAAAAAGGTCAGAATAATCTAATCTCTTCCCCATTACTTTTTCTTTTTCATGTCAGGAGCAGAAGATATCTTAATTTGAATTTAATTATCAGGTTGGACCCATCAGATTGACCAAATTAACGTATCATTGTTAAATCTACTTAGGATATCACTTCAGACAGAAGCAAAATTGGAAAAGAAAGAAGTCAATGCTGTTGACATATGTGGGCAGGAAAATTCAGAGTTCTTAGGCCCAATGTATCTTCCAAGACCAAATTTAGAAAACTACTTTGATAAAATAGAATGAATCAAAGATTAAATGTTTAACCATTATTCTGTTCAGTTTAAAGCAGCTTTATTAACTACACACTATAATACCCTTAGAAGATTACAGATGTGAAAATTTTATTTATTTATTATTTTATTGTTATCATTTTTTTTTTTTGAGACAGAGTCAAAAAAAGTAGAGTGCTATGGCATCATCAGAGCTCACAGCAACCTCCATCTCTTGAGCTCAGGTGATCCTCTCGCCTCAGCCTCCCAAGTAGCTGGCACCACAGATGCCTACCACAACACCTGGCTAGTTTTTCTATTTTTAGTAGAGATGATTCTCACTCTTGCTCAGGCTCGTCTCAAACTCCTGAGCTCAAGAATCCACCCATCAGCCTCCCAGAGTGCTAGGATTGCAGGTGTAAGCTACCATGTCTGGTCAAGATATAAATATTTAGTATCATAGTCAATTGTTTCTCATCTCCAGGCCTCTGTGTACACTTGTTATTTCCTTTGCTTGGAACATCCTTCCTTCACCTTCTTCTGCCTTAGCTAATACCTATTTTTCCTTCAAGTGTGATTTAGAAGGCAGTAGGACTAAGAAAACGTTCCTTGCCCCCCCTTCCCTCTACACACCTATTCAGCGTCTCATCCACATCTATCAGAGCAGCTACTCGCCAGATGACTTGGCGAGCTCTATGATAGAAGAACAATCTTAAGAATATTGTTGAGGAAGTGTATCAATTAATTACTTTCAAAGTATAGAAAAATATCCTTTGGCATATAAAAAGATCAGCTAGTATTTGTGACAGGCAATCACTAGGACAATATCAAATAATCCCTTTCTTGAAGTATTCACAGCTTTGTAGCAATCCCCTCTGCTGGAGTGTGGGCTGAACCTAGTGACCAACTTCTATTGAGCATAGTACACTCAGGACATGTGACTTCTATGGTGAGGTTCCCCAAAGATTGTGACTTCCATCTTACTCACCTGTTCTAGCTTTTTCACTTGTTTTCTTTGATAAAAGCCACCTACCATGATGTAAACTTCTCTATAGAAAGGCCCATATAGCAAGGATCTGAAGTCTGCTGTCAACAAAGAACTGAGGCCTTCAGCCAAACAACCCATGAGGACCAGAATTCTATTAAAAGCCACGTGAATGGGCTTAGAAGCAAACCTTCCCACAGTTAATCTTTCAGACAAAGCTATAGCCAGTCCTGACCTGCACCCTGACTGCAACCTTGTGATAGCCATTGAGCACCCACAAGACCTGTGAGATAATAAATTTTTATTGTTTTACGTTCTGGTGTAATTTGTTATATAACCATAGATAATCAATACAATACTATTGATATAAAAATTAAGATATAGTAATTAAGCCATTTTGCAAATAATACTAAGGGCCTTCACAGCATCAAATGTGGAATAGTCAACCGTGGTGACTGTGCCACTTTCACTCTTTAGGAGCTTTGAGACTTATTTTCTCGTCCTCAGCTGAGTTGTCAACATGGTATTAATAGAATTACTACTATTGGTCTGATATGCAAGAGCTGGAAAGTAATGTCAATTTTCTACATAGTATCATTTTACTGTGTGATTCCAAGAAATGGGATCAGAAGATCTAAATTTGAATCTTATTTTTGCCATTTACAATCTGCATAAATTTGGATATCCTCTAGACCTTTGAACAACATGATTTGAACTGTAAGGGTCTGCTTATATGTGGATTTTCTACCACCTCTGCCCATCTCTCAAGCAGCAAGACCAACCTCTCCTCCTCTCCTCTCCTCTCTCCTCCTCCCCTTCCTCTTTCTCTTCCTCCTCAGCTTACTGAACATGAAAATGACAGGATGAAGACCTCTATGGTGATCCATTTCCACTTAAAGAATAGTAAACATATTTTCTCTTCCCTATGATTTTTTCTATACCATTTTCTTTTCTGTAGCTTACTTTAGTGTAAGACATTGTGTACAATACATGTAGCAAACAAAATATGTGTTAATCAACTATGTTGTCAGCAAGGCTTCTGGTAAACAGCACTGGTGGTTAAGTTTTTAGGGAACCAAAAGGTACATGTGGATTTTCAACTGTGCATAGGGTGGGGGAGGGGTCACATTCTTAACCCCTGAATTGTTCAAGGGTAAACCATATTTTCTGAAATTCTCTAAGTCAGTTCCTTCATCTGCAAAACATGACCAAACTTACCTACAAAACAGAAAAACAAAAAAAATATCAAAGCACAAAACCTGGCACAGAAGAAATGTGGGGAAAAAAACAACCACTGATTATGAATCTAAGAATACTGTTTGTCATTCTAGTCTTCCAATTATAAACATGAGTTAGGAAAGACTACAGAAATCTGAAATAAATATGATTGTCCTCTTTAAGGTAGAGAATAAAATGTTGAAAAAAAGAGATTTTTTTTTCTTGGCCTGGCAAAATAAGAGATAATGGTTAAATGGGAGGTGGTTAAAAATAATTCATCTGATTGATTTTTTTTATCTTTGCCAAGGAAAGAATTAGAATACAGTACTCCCCCTTCTGCAGGGGACAGTTTCAACACCCGAAGTAGAAGCCAAAAGTTTAGATAGTAACAAATCTGACTGGTGTTATATGGAATATATTTCTGTTCATGTCTTCCATCAACAAATTTAACACCCTCTTTTCTTAACTAAGTGATTATCAGGCACCGTGGCTTTAACTTTTATAGTTTAAGGAATGACAGCAAAGCCAGAATAAATTGTTTTTCCTTCTTTCAGAGATAGAAGATTTGTTCATATTGTAGATCTTAGCAACTTTAGCATATGATTCTTTTTCTTTCCTTACTAAGTCCTTTGCACTTAAAGGAAGCCCTTGACAGCTTCTCTTTGGTGTATCTGAACTGCCAGCATTACTACTCTTGAGCTGTGGGGCCATTATTAAGTAAAATACGGTTACTTGGCAACAAGCAAGCAATACTGCTGTCAATCTGCCAACCAGGAGGGCACTAAGTGACTAAGAGTCTGTGGAGTAGGCAGCACGGAGATGCTGGACAGAGGGACGATCACCTTCTGGGTGGAATGGAGTGAGACGGCATGAGATTTTATCACACTACTCAGAATGGTGCACAATTTCAGACTCAAGAGTTATTTATTTCTGGAATTTTCCCTTTAGTAAAATTGAGGAAAGCAAGACTGCAGATTAAGAGGGGACTACTGTAAATATAAACAAGA